AGTGCGTTTTGGTACTGGTTGGCATTGTCCTAAATACGATCCCGAATGTTTCCAGCAGCACAATAATTAAAATTTGTAATGATATAAAACTATATGCATATGCATAATCAAATTCTTATTTGCTTAATAAACTAAATTCTCATTCAAAAGTTTGATATTTATATTCATAGAAAAAATGGTTACCGAAAATAAGTATTTTTCTTGAAAAATATTTGTCTCTATTTGAACGTAAACTAGAAGATTTCTCAAATAATGCCACAAAGATGTATAAAATATCAAAATGCAATCTAACTATTATCCAAAGTAAAATAAATAAATAAACGAAATGTCCTACATAATGCGGTAAGAAATTCAATCAACAAACATCCAACTACAATAAATCCAATTTTAATGCGGTGAGAGACTAATGTTGCTGGAGAAACAGAGGAGAATGGAGAGGACGATGTTGAAGATGAGGTCGATGTAGAGGACGAGTTTGTCCCTCTCATTGAATACGAGGCTGTTGAGACACAAGATCAGCTCCAACCTCAGCTAAGAAAGTCACAAGAGAGAGAACAATGCCAGAATCCCAACCTTCACTAAGAAAGTCCACAAGAGAGAGAGCAATGCCAGAATACTTGAGTGATTACGTCTTACTAGCCGAGTTCAAAAGCGAAACTCTCGTGATGATGATAAATAAAGAACCATGAGATTATAATGAGGCAATAAGGTCGAAAGAGTGGAGAGAAGCATGTGGAGAAGAGATATCACCCATAGATTAGAACAAGACATGAAGCTTAGTTGATCTCCCTATAGGAGCTAAGCCAATCGGTCTAAAATGGGTCTTTAAACTCAAACTTAATTCCAATGGGAGCATCAACAAGTACATAGCAAGGCTCATGGCAAAAGGCTGTGTGAAAAGATATGGAATAGACTTCAATGAAGTATTTGCTCCAGTAGCAGGTATTAAAGCTGTTTGATTCATTATTGCTCTAGCGGCATCAAACGGTTGGGAAATGCATCATCTTGATGTAAAAATACTAAAAACTGCATTTCTGCATGACGACCTGAAAGAAGTGGTCTACGTCACACAGCCTCGAGGGTTCGTAACCAAAGGAAGTGAATACAAGGTTTACATGCTTAATAAAACGCTTTATAGATTGAGACAGGCGTCAAGGGCATGGAATAACAAACTAAATGAGATTCTTTGCGAGTTGAATTTTGTTAAGTTCTCAAAAGAACCATTGTTGTATCGAAAGCATGAGAAGGAGTATCTTCTTCTTGTGGCTGTTTATGTAGATGATTTACTTATCACGAGATCGAGCTTAAGTATGATACTGAAGTTTAAACGAGGAATGTCAGCTAAGTTTGAGATGAGTGATTTTGGAAAATTGACGTATTATCTCGGCATTGAACTATTTCAACATGTAGCTGGTATCATGCTAAAGCAAGAAAGATATGCAACTAAGATTCTAAGAGAAGCTGGAATGGAGGAATGCAACGCAATTCACATGCCAATGGATTCAGGTTTAAAGTTATCTAAGGTCAACAAAGAGAAACGTACTGACGAGAAGGAATATAGGAGAATTATTGGGTGTCTTTGATATTTGCTTCACACACGGCCAGATCTCTTTTATTGTGTTGGTGTGTTAAGTAGATACATGCAAGAACCAAAAGAGTCTCATAGAGCAGCATTGAAGCAAATTCTAAGGTACTTGAAAAGAACTTCATCACATGGTCTCGTGTTTAAACGTGTGGACAAAACAAAGCTGGTGGATTATAGTGATAGTAGTCATAATGTGGATATGGATGATGGTTAAAGAACGACAGGCCATATCGTTTATCTTAATGATTGTCCAATCACTTGGTGTTCACACAAGCAAGAAACCATGGCACTATCGTCGTGTAAAGCTGAATTTATGGCAGTTACTGAAGTGGCAAAACAGGCAATTTGGCTTCGAGAACTTCTTGCTGAAGTCATTGGAAGATCATGTGACGATTTGAGTTGACAATAATTATGCAATAGCACTCACCTAGAACTTGGATGGTCCATGGACGAAGCAAGCAGATACACAGGAGGTATCATCTTATATGAGAGTGTGTTGAGAATGAACAAGTGGAGGTCAAGCATGTTCTCGGAAATGTGCAAAAGGCCAGCATCTTAACAAAGACACTTGGGAGAATCATTTTCAAGAAGATGAGAGATCCCGTTGGGATTCAAGATTTGTCAAACAAAGTATTCAAAGTTAAAATGGAGAATGTTGACTTAAACTTGGAGATAGTTTGAATCATAAGTTATCCTAATCCTACTGAGTTATGGTTATGAAAAAGATTAGGATAATAACTATATCTAGAAGTTATCTAAGTTTTCTTTTTATTATTAGGAAATAACCTAAACTTCTCTTTATATAAAGAAATGTTAAGATGTGGTATAACTTACGAGCTTAGAGATATTAATAAAGCTTTAGTTTTTGAGTCAGCTTTTTAAAGCAATAAAAATGTGTTTTGTTCTTGATCTAAAGTGTTTATTTCAATACATACTAAAATACTGACTTTCTTTCACTAGGCATGTTATTGACTCTCTAGCGGACTATTCCCGTGCATGACTTGCTAAATGAATCAGGCGTGTTGTATTAAACCACATGCTCCCGCGGTGCACCGCATAGATGAGACTTGACAAGCGAGAAGGTGTATAAAAGGAGGCTGAGAGAACTTTTATCCCACTCTTTTTACGGTCCGTCTCTTACACACCACCTTCAACCAAATAAAAAGATGAGTATTACGATTCTCAGACGGGATACTCAACACATCAACCATTTCAAAACTCACATTCTCAAGTATTTTTTTCTCAGTAAAACGTATTCTGACTTAAACGTTGGAAAACTTTTTGGAAGAAACAGTGACAAATATAAAAACATTTTTAACCAGGAATACTCTTTAAAATGTTAAAAATGTTGAATTTTTTATAACAATAGTTAATTAAAATACTTACGGTTATTAAGAAAAAGATTTAAAAAAATCAGTATGATAGGCCCCCGTATATGCTCACTTACGTTCGCCTCTAGGAGAAAATCTCTTTTCGGTTAATCCGAAAGTCCAACTCATTCGTTCCAAAATCGCATGCCACTCATCTCTAGAAAAGAAAACCTAGAAACACAACTCTTTATAGCTAAACAATACGTAACCTCGTAATTTATATCCAAGCACCCATATCTTTGTTCAGAATATTTATTTATCCACTTTCATCAAATGAAAATCTTAAAAATACTGAGACTGAGGTTTTAATTGGATTCAGGTTTTACTTGGATTCGGGTTTTTAGAATCGCGGTTTGATGGTTTGGTATCCGGTTTAGATCTTCAGCCATTGAACCCGGCATCTATGGGTGGGTTCTGAGGTTTTTAACTTTTTAAAATTGAAGCCGGAAATCAAGACTAACGCGACATCTGATGATCTTCGCCGGAGTTCGGAGATGCGCGGCGGTGTCAAACGGAGCATGGTTTAGCGACGGTGTAGCTTTCTATTGTGCCTGATTGTCGATCACTTGGTAAGCTCTCGTTTATGATTCACAGGTGCGGTGAAAAATGTGTGTTTTGATTATACATGTTTAATCTGCCGATTCACATTTGACTTGTAATCTCTTATCAGTTCCGATTCAATTGAGGAATATTTTGGATGGATTGTGTCTCTGGTCTGAATTTGAATTGTGTTTTTGTTTTTTGATGCAGAATCTCTTTGTCCTGTTGCAACCTTTCTCAACATCTTCATACCACTTGATCCTTTTTGGCTTCAATTTAACAGATCTCTGGCATTGTGTGATCTGCTTCATCGTTGTCATCTGTCATGGGAGTCAAACCAGTGAGGTGTGTCTCTTCTCTGTTCCTCGTGATCTCTGTAACGCGTCTCGTCTTCTCGCGCACGCTCTCAGGAGATCCAGATCCTTGCGGTCTGACGAAACCGGGAGAGTTTGAGAAACTCAGATCGGATCAGATCACAGTTCTAATCAACGGCTACTCCGAATCACGTATCCCTCTTCTCCAGTCCATCGTGAGCTCTTACGCAGGATCCTCCATCGTATCATCAATCTTAGTCCTCTGGGGTAACCCTAACACACCCGGTCAAGTTCTTGACCAGTTGTACCACAATCTGACCCGGTTTTCGCTCGGTACTGCTTCCATCTCTCTGGTTCAGCAACCATCGAGCAGCCTCAACGCCAGGTTCCTCCCTAGGGCTTCCGTTGACACACGAGCTGTGTTGATATGCGATGATGACGTGGAGATAGACCGAAGGTCGCTGGAGTTCGCGTTCGCCGTGTGGAAGTCGAACCAAGATCGTCTAGTGGGAGTGTTTGTGAGGTCGCACGGGTTTGACTTGCAAGGGAAAGAGTGGATCTACACTGTTCATCCAGATAAGTACTCTATCGTCCTGACCAAATTCATGATGATGAAACAAGACTATCTGTTTGAGTATAGCTGCAATGGAGGCGTGGAGATGGAGGAGATGAGGAGGATTGTGGACAAGATGCGTAACTGCGAGGACATACTGATGAACTTTGTAGCTGCAGAGAAGTTGAAAGCAGGACCAATCATGGTTGGAGCAGAGAGAGTTAGGGATTGGGGAGATGCGCGTAACGAAGAAGAAGAAGTGGAGAGTGGGGTAAGAGAAGTTGGGTTGAGCAGTAGAAGAGTGGAACACAGGAAGAGAAGAGGGAGTTGCATCACGGAGTTTCATAGAGTGATGGGGAAGATGCCGTTGATGTATAGTTATGGTAAGGTTGTGAACTCTGTTGGGGAACAAGGGTTGTGTAGTAAATCAGGAAAGCTTGTGTTTTGTGACCAGTGAGAGAATCTTTCAAAGCCTTCTTGTTGCCTATAGTCTCGATCATAAATGCATGTAAATTTTTTATAAAATGTGTATAATAAGTAACATACAGGCCAACATTTTTTTTTTCTCTGGTTACAATAACAGTTATGAAAATCTGATCATAATGCATATAGAAAGACAATAAGAAAGAAGAAACCTTCTAGAATTTCTGAAGTACGACAGAGTGGGCGAGACCAGCTTGTTCAATGGTCTGAGTGAGATCAGTCAAAGGCTTAGGTGGGAACCCCATTGTCTGAAGCTGGTAGTTAACCGGAGCTCCAGGTCGTGACGAGTCGATGAAACCGCGGATGTCGCTGACCGTGTGATGGTGATTGAACTTAGCCACTAGACGGGTCCCATCCGCTAGTCTAATCTGGACCGATGTGGTCGGAGCGGTTTCGTCTATTACAAGAGCTGGTGATGGTGCCGGTGCCGGTGCCGGTACAGTCGCTGGTAAACCGGTTTGGATGGAATCAGGCGCCGTCGTTGAGCTACTTCCGCTGCTCTCGTTGTTAGCACTTAGAGTCCTTCCAACACCTTGAAACGAACCCCTACGCTTCTTCTCTCGTTCCTACAAATTAAATCATTTACAAAATTTACAAAACAATAATCATTTTGTTAAGATTCAAAAGAATGCAAAAAATATTGATAAGACTCACTGGGCAATTCTCTTCCCTTCGCATCAGATTAACATGAACAGGAGCTCTTTTATCTGCAGGCTCAAGCTCTCTCGGGCACTCAGACTTTCGAATGCTCTGCAACAACAACCCAAACAAAAAAAATCAATAACTCAAAAAACAGAGTTTTTAACATGATGATACTGATTCTTTCGTTTGTTTATTTCACCTCGAGAAACGATGCGTTCTCTGGATCATCAAGCTTCCTCAAAGGACCATCGTCGATGGTGAATCCATTGGACCAGAAGACGATGTTGTGAGCCACAGGCTCAGGCTGTTGAAGACCAGTGGGAACGTTTTCTCCTGAAAGCAATCTCCCAGTTCCAGTGAAGGTCCTCGAGCTTGAAGGAGTCTCAACAGGTCCTTCCACAGCTCCTAGTTGTCTTGCTTGATTGAATATCTCATCAACATCATCTTTCTTCTTAGGATCTTGAACGAGCATACCACTGTAACAACAGTCAAACTGTAAAAATTAGACGATTTACAATATAACTCACGGAAAAAATTATCTAATTGAACAATTTGTAGATAGTTTCAACAACCCTAAATTGAGATACTAAGCTAGATTATTACAATAGTTCGGTAATCATTTTACTTCTACCTCATCTATTCATCAAATTTTTGATCCAACTGAACAATTTAAGAACAATAATCATCATAATCTAATTTGAGAGCTACAGATCCAAACATGAGTAGTTACGATCTTCACACTTATAGTCACCATTAGAATCGAAATCTTAAAGAAGTAGATTGAAATCAGAAGACTTGAAATGTTCTTTTGACAAGACTGACCTTTTCTCGCCGCCGGTGTAGTACTCTTGAGGTCCGTCGGAATCACTGTCGGAGTCAGGTCCAGACCTTCGATTGAGATCGGAAAGAGTTCGGATTTTACCGGCTCGACTGCTCGACGGCCTCGACTGTTTCTTGTCCTTCGACGACATTCTTTTCACTCCGATGCTCAGAACAGAAAACGATTGAGAGAGAGAGAGAGAGCAGAGGAATGAAGATATTGAACGAACGCTAGAGAGACGTACACTAGTCACTTGTTTTTATGCGCTAATCAGGCGCGTGTCTTCTCAAGCTACTCACGCGCGCGCGTGACTCGGGTTGCATTCATGATGTGTGTTTTAAGTTTAACCAAGTTGTACGAAACTTTTGATTTTATTTTAGTACTTTGGTTTTGACATTTTTAGCAAGGTTCCCTTGTATGACGTTCGATCTATATTAAATGTAGTAACCTTTAATTATTTTATTGGGTTCAAGAACTTGTTTTTATTAAATAAATGTAGAATCAAGAAACTGAATCGTGGTTTAATCTATCTTAACCGGACTGTTCTAGATATTGCAGAAGACAAAAACCAATGTCGGCTGACTCTTAACAAGTTCAATTCAGACAGGACTTTTTTGTAATAAATATCCAAATATCCAAAGTTCTTTTGGCCCGGTTTGCATATGATTTGGACCAAACCGATCAAAAGTATAACTTTTTTATTTTGTATTTCACGTAACACTCAACAATCAACATCGTATTTACTCACAAAACCACAGAATTGGGACCAGACAAGAAGGTATGTTTTAGACAAAGCCTTAATAAAACTGGCACTGTCAAAAACGAACCGAACCGGTCTTAGCTTACCGACATCTCTAGATAAGAGATCACATGCTTCTTGGAACATGAGACGGTGTGGATGGTAATAAAAAATCTCAGAATAATTCAAAATATTTGGTTAGAACTTGTGAGAAAAGGAATCTTCTTTAGGGGCAATAATTTATCTGTGTGGTGTCTAATAGGAGTCAAGTCACAATCGATTTTCTAAAGAAGTCTCGAAACATTTAAAACAAAAAAGAAGAACATACTTTTTTCCCACTAAAGATCTCATCACCTCCTCTTCTTTGGTTCACCTGCTCCTGCATAATCCTTGATTAGGGCTTCAACATCTTTCCAGAATAGACCCTCAACAAGAACTCCATCTTTAGTGAACCTGAACACACACACACATAAAAACAAATTAGGCGATGCAACGAATATGGCATGAGAGCATGTAAACAAATTGAGAGAGAGAGAGTGAGAGAGAGACCATTGAGTTACACTTTTGGTGAGCTGGACTGACTTTTCAGCAGAGATTGATTTTGGATCAGCACTTTCGATGGTGAGAGTGTACTGATCAGAGAATCTAGGCAACTTGGAAGATACCACCAAACCAGTGCTGGTGAATGATCCCTGCATACTCGCCATACGAATTTAAAGTCAGGAAACAATGAGAGAAACAACCAAAAGTACATATTCGAAGATGTAGCAAAACAAATGAAAACGTTGCCTATAATAACCAAAGAACATTAGAATATGTATAATTTTCCGCTGGCTAAATTATCACAGGAACTGAAATGGTTTCTAGCAAAACTTCTTGTCTCCTGATCTCTTGACCAAATCAATGAGAACTAATCAAATGCTTAGTAAAACCGTATACAAATTAATGAGAGGGGTAACTTCTTGAAGCTGGTGAATAAGGAAAAACAACCCACATATACATTCCCGGATCATCTTAAGAAATTATGTCTCATGAAATAGGACATCGCATATCACAAATTCCAAAGAGATACAATAACTTCCACAACCCAAATTATCAAGACTTCAATCGAGATAAGGTACTTGGGAGCGAAAGGGAAATGTAACTCCCACTAAAGACTCTACAAACATGTGTGAAGCTAGCACAAGCACAATTCTAATTCATTATAAAACAGAAGTGAATCGAGATATAGCTCTAGCTATGAAGAAGTGAATGCAGAAAAGTATGCTACCAAATCCCAGAAACTACAGTCGTCACTATGCAAGAACATAGCCCAAAAGCACACAACACAATAGTAATAATTCTCAAGGAAACATCTTCTCTCAACACAAAGTCAGGGAACAAACCTCAAGAGGATAGGTGAACAAAATCGCATTCTTCTCCTTAACGTACATAATCAGCTGCATTACCGCAGTCAACACCACATACTTGCCAGAGTCAAGAACCAAACATATCCAACATCTTGATTCAAAGATCAAAAAGACAATAAGCAGTTTTATATGATCGTAATTCTTACTTATAGTTAATAGACATTATAGTTTCTCCAAAAACTAATGCAAACACACTAAGCCAAAACAAGGTAAAAGAATTAAAATTGACATTTTCCCAATTTCCATTATCTTCAATTTAATCTTAATCCTATGAGAATCAAGCGAATTTGAAAAAGGATATAATCCGATGCAGCAAATCAAAATGTCTCTGTTCTCAGGGAACTTCTTATTGTAGAATTGGGCAACGAGAGCGACCACGATAATAATCACCCCTAAGAGCAATTTTACGTTGCTTAGCCTCACATCCTCCTTGTAGCCTCGGCTCGTAACGATCTACAATTAAAAAAATTGAAAAGGAGGATCAAAGATCAGAGAAAACGGAGAAATCGAGGGAAACTTTTGTGCCGATCGTTTATATTTCCTGAGGCTTACATCGGAGACTGATTCGTCGAGGATGTGTTTGACGGAGTTGTGATCTAACAGGTTAGCCTTCTTAACGTTCTTAGTCGTTGATTCTGTCTTCTTCTCATCTTCCATGGCGTATAGATCCGATCGAGAAAAATCTCTGAGTGTGCAGGAGAGCGCAAAGGCTACTACAGTACTACGACAAAGTTTCGGTGAATTCAGTCCTAGGTTTGATACTATGTCGTTTCGTGAATGATACATATGGGCCTTTCTTGGGCTTCATAAGAATTAACATATTATTCGATTGAAAAAATAACTAAACCGGACGATTATTTGATTTCACTGAGAAATTACGGCCCATTCATTTTGCATCTTAGCAAATAATTAAATATTGTTATTTGGATATTTTAAAATCTGCAATCTATATGTTGAATTTGGATGCAAAATTAATTGCATCTCAAAAACTACTTTGTATACCGAATTTAGATGTAAAATTAATTGCATTTAAAATTTAGATATTTGAAATTGTAAAAGAAAAAGGAGTTTGGATGCAACTTTGTGTCTTAAATTTTTAAAACCTAAAATATTCTTTAATATAATAGAAAGTTAATTAATTTAATATTAATTATTCTTGTTAAATGATATTTTAGAGTAATCTTGATATGCTTTATATGCAGTATCAACTTCAAATGTTATTAATGCGTAGGAGGATACATAAATAGTTCTCTAATGTGAGTTTATGTGCGATTTATATAGTTTCAAGTTTTGACCTTCTGAGAAGTTTTCTTTCTGATTCTGTTGTTGTTTGCATCTACAGCGAAGTAGGAAATGATGATGAGATGAGAGTTCAGGTTTTTGACACTGTTTGGTATCGTATTTCAATTCCGAAGATATGTTTTCAATTTTTGCTCGTTACTCCTTGTTGACTGATTTGGAACTGCATGATTATGGTAAATTTCATGCTTTTTACAAATAAATTAGAAAATACAATTCTTTTTTAATATTTATCTTTTTCTTCTTTTAGTTAAATTCTACTCAACTTTGTATTGCAAAAATTTGTTAGACACTATATGAAAACTACTGAAGACATCTTGTTGCAATTTGTGAAATTCTAAATGGATATTCCATGTGATGCCATTTTTAATGAAAATTGCTAAAGAAACCTTGTTGTAATTAAAGCAAAGGTTGCATGGAAGGAAGTATGTTTATCAAGAGAGGAGGGAGGTCTAAGCCTACGATCTCTAATCGAGGCAAACAATGTTAGTTGTCTGAAACTGATTTGGCGAATCCTATCAGCACACTCATCTCTCTTCTCTCTGGGTCAACTGGATACGAATGTATCTCATTCGGGAAGGATCTTTCTGGTCTGCAAAATCATCATCATCGCTTGGTTCTTGGATGTGGAAAAAGCTTTTAAAATATAGAGAGGTGGCTAGAACTCTTACAACTATGAAAGTAAACAATGGAGAAAACACATCTTTCTGGTTTGATCAATGGACTTCGATGGGATGACTGATTGATCTTACTGGCAATAGGGGTTGCATTGACATGGGCATTCAACTAAATTCTTCTGTAGCAGCAGTCCTTGGTATGCATAGAAGAAGAAGGCATCGAGTGGAGGTGTTCAACAATATAGAGAATGAGATCGAGAAGCTTCGTGGGCGAGCTGATCTGCTTTCGGAGGATAGGGCCCTCTGAAAATATGATGATAAGTACAAGTCTTAATTCAGTTCTAAAGCCACATGGAGGTCTATCCTAGAAGCGCAGCCAAGTTGTAACTGGTATAAGGGTATATGGTTCAAACACTCTACACCGAAATACTCGTTTATTGTATGGCTGGTGATTCAAAATAGATTGTCTAAAGGAGACAGAATGATGACATGGAACATTGGACTGAATGTTTCCTACATATTTTGTCAAGTGCCGTGTGAAACTCGAGACTACTTATTCTTCAGATGCAGCTATTCAACAGCAATTTGGGGAGCTTTGACTAAGAAGATGTTGTCGGCTTATTATATGGAAGACTGGGATACAATCCAAAACCTTTAGTTGGATGTGCCAAGAGAAAGCATCACACAGTTTTTACTAAGGTATGCTTATCAGACTGCCATCCATCCACTTGATATGGAGAGAGAGGAATCAGACGAGACACGGTGACACGGCTACCTCTAACTCTCAGATGACGCACTGGATTGATAAGCAAGTCTGTAACCGTTTGACAACCATCAGCAGGTTGGGTGATAGACAATATCAAAAGGGAATACAGCTTTGGTTTTCTTTCACACAATTAATATATTTTGTAGCAAGTAATTAGATTTTTTCTGCTAAATTTCGAAATCACGATGCATTCATTGTAAAAAATAACTTTTGGTTAGATTAATTTAACATTTCTATTAAAAGAAAACAAAACTTGTTGTAATTTGTGAAAAATTTCCCAAGGGTCAAGTATCTCAGTCTATGTCGCGTTCGTGTATCAGACAACCAAATGTGAATATTATTCAAGTTATTTGTGCAATAATTGATTATAATTGTAAAATTTTGTAACATAGATATGTTATGGAAAATATACAGGGATTTAGGAGACTAACAATCCTAAATACATCTAAGTCGCGAACTGAATTTAGGCTTGTACTTGGAAGACACCTTGTAAGCCTATGTGTGATTAATTTATATCATTTTAAGTTTTACTTTTTGAGAAGTTTTCTTTGTGATTTATATAACAGATACAGGCTAGTACAGAAAAGTAAGGAATGATATGAGATGAGACTTCAAGTTTTGGTACTTCAAGGATGCTTTGACCTCATGGAGGTGGGTGGCTTTAGCTTGTTTATAAATTATCAAATTTCAGAAGAAACTTCATCAATTTTTATCTGATTTATATGCAGGATCAACTGCAAGCGTTTTTCATGCAGGTATGGGAAGGAGGTTATTTCCACATGCAGAAGCTAGTAAGTAATTTTGGGATGAGTTTGAAAAAAAAATTGATAAATCATTCCATCATAAAATTGTCTGTTTTTTTATATCTATCTTAAAGATAGTAAAAGGCTAAGTCGGGGGAGGATTCAGTTTTGTTTTGCTGGAAAAGCACTTACGTGTTTGTAATTTTGGGATTTTTCTCATAGGACTTATGCTATCTGCCAAGTGATATATAAAGCTCAAAATTTTGTGGTTAATTGTATAGGAGTAGGAAAACAATTCTTTGAGAAAGAGTAGTTTTATTATTAAATCATACTAAGCTTAGATCTAATCAAATAATTGTGAACTAAATATAAGTAAAAAGTTAGTAAAATATAAGCAAAATATAAGAGATATACAAAAAGAAATATGCAACAACTTGATGCAACGATGGTTCAGGGGAAGACACTTGAAATACGTAGCTATTTTCTTTGGCTACTATTATGTTTCTCTCTTAGTTTCATATTATTTTGAATTTTAATTTATAAGTCCACTGAATTATGTTTAAGAAAAATTCGATATTCTTTTGTTCAATATTGCTGGAATTTCCTATTGGAAATACAAAAAGATATAGAAAACTCTGGCATGAGACGGAGCTTAATTACATTATTCTTGAATTTTTCAACTGGACCAATTCACCAGCATCGGAGGAGTGTAGATGCTTGAAGGAGGTGGCGGGAACATTACTCTTTCAAGGAATCAGGTGAAGAATCCGATCACGACAACGCGTGAGGAAAACAAAGACTCAATTAGAAGAAGCGCCCTTAAGGAAGCGTCAATGCCCATTTGGTTTCTGACTTTCTTTTCTGACAGCTTACCAAAAACAAATCTATCTATTTTTTATAGTTAGTTTTGAAATGCTGCTATGTGTTGGAAAAAAAACTATAAACACATAGAAAAAATTCAACTACACTAAATTCAAATAATTAAAACAATTCAATACAATCTAAAAAAACAAAAAATGCAACAAAGATTTTACAAATATATAAATAACATTTATTTTTTTATATATAAACAACATATATACTAATGAAGTAAGAGTTTTTTCAAAAGCAGCTCTAATATTCTGCCATGTGACATTTAAGAAATTGATATGTGTCACTTTTTTTTAACTATTTTTATTGAATTCTCTTTTATCAAACAAACACAAAGCAAATTTTTTTTTCTTCTTTTTCTCTAAACAGTTTTTTTTTCTATTCTAATATAGTAATGTTTTTCTTTCTATCCAACAAAAAGAAACGACAATCAAAACAATCAAACAAAATTTATATAATATAGTAAGATAATGTGTCACTTTTTCTATTTTTTTTTGTTTATCTCTACTATATTCTTTTTCATTAAAAAGCTTATATATGCTGTCACATGTCAATTAAGAAACTAACATATGTCTTTTTTTAAATAAATATAGTAAAATAATGTGTCACTTTTTCTCTGTTTTTTTCTTTTATCTCTACTATATTATCTTTCATTAAAAAAGTTTATATATGCTGTCACATGTCATTTAAGAAACTAACATGTATCTCTTTTTAAATAAATATAATAAGGTAATGTGTCATTTTTCTCTGTTTTTTATTTATCTCTACTGTATATTCTTTTTCATCAAAAAAGCTTATACATGTTGTCACATGTCTTCTAAGAAACTAAAATGTGTCTTTTTTTAAAAAAAAATTTAACTATCTTTATTGAATTCTTTTTCATAAAACAAACACAAAACAAAGTTCCAGTATTTTTCATTCTTCAGAGGATTATCTTTCATCCAACACATAAACGAAAATCAAATCACTCAAACAAATCTTATATAATATAGTAAAGTCATGTGTCACTTTTTTTTTATCTCTATTATATTTTCTTTCATAGAACAAACACAAAAACTGCAATATAAATTCTACACAAATCTATAAATATCAGGAACAATCTATTTATCTATTCTAATATAGTAATGTTTTTTTGATATTATGTCATGTGGCACTTTACAATTTCACATATTACTTTCATTTGATCTATTTACATTAAAAAAAACTGGTCAAGAAAAAGAGAATAATAAATTTAACTATACTAAATAAAAATAATAAAGAGAACTAAATATAATCCACAAAAAAAACTGCAATAAAGATTCTACCAAAATCTATAAATAGCAGGAACAATACAACAATGTACAAACACAACTCCCTTTTATTACCACATAAAATTTGAATATAATATATATTATATACATTACATTATTAGAGATTTTGTTTCACCAATCAACTGGTAACAAAACCTGTCTCAAAATCACACATCCACTCCATAATAATAGATCATCAACTACATAATCCTTTATAACACCAATCAAATACTACAAGCAAATAAGTATACTTTCAAAGATGTGATTAACTACATAATACATAATGCTTCAAAGTTTTTTTTTTAAATTGAAGATGCATTAAGAATACTAGATGTTTAGTTTTTTAATTAGAGACTTCGAGAAAAGACAAACACAAGTTACACAAGAAAAATATGATAATTGTGCTATATGTCTTGATGATCTGTAAATGCCAAAAAAATATTAACACTTTATTTTGTAGTCACAAATTTCACCACAAAAATGTTTCAGATTGGTTATACTATAAAACAACATGTCTTGATTGTCTAAAAAAATAATTTGATATGTCGTATGATGTGTAGATATTATTATTATACCAATATTTCAATACAAAAACTAAAACTACATAGTATTTAAAAATTCTAAATTTATATTTACCGACAAAAATTTACTAAAAATATTATAAAATTAGAAATTTAAAATATTACAAATTCACGCGGCGTGGAACTTCTCCTAATAATCTAATCTATTATTAATATCATAGTACGTTTTATGATCCAATGGGACCACTTCGCAGAGTGTGATAGATCTGTCACTCTATCAGTGGTCCCAATAACAACATAAAAACGTAATAGAAATTGAAAATCGAAAATAGAGTGCTAATGAAAAATAGTTAATGAAAATTGACTGGTAAGTTAAACACAATCTCATCTTGTAATGAAATGCATGCGTTATTTGGGAAAGAGATTTTCCCGAGTGGGGTCTTATTCATTTGTGTGTGTGGATGCATCAGATATGAAGAAATTAGTTTATATACCTTCTGTTATAAACATGCGTAATTTCTCAGAAATCTTTAAACTGAAGATTCTAAACAAATGTAAATATTCGTAGTCAAACACAAATACTTACAACAGTGATGTGATGGAAGCTTCTAGGGGATATGCTAACTAATAAGTCGTTAATTTAAAAAATATCGGAAAACAGATGATCAGTGAACACTTCTTTTTCTTTTAAACAGAGATGATCACAAAGTTATCGTTTAATATGAGAATTCTTGTATAAACCAAGCTTTCTCGTGCTTTTCAAAGTACTTTCACTATTTTTCAAAAACAACAAATGAGGAAAACCCTTAGTACATACTATATATAAAAAAAAACAAAAACCCTAATTAAAAGTCCTAATAGACACATTCATACATTAGATCTGTATAAATAAATTCAAACAATCTAATTATCATTAATTTATAAAGAATTATCAAACATACATATTCATTACATATATGTGAAATCTGAAGAGCTTTTACACACATATTATATCAAAGACAATTAATTCTAGCTTTTTTTTTCTTAAATGATGACTATAGCATATTCTTATTCAAATTACAGACATGTAAATGAAATCCTCAAAGCTTAGAGACACATATCTAGATCAAGGGCAGTTCTCGTTCTGACCAGGACCACCGTAAAAGAAATGACTCCCCCAAGAAGTTCCACTAGCTCCTACCTTAATGCTGTAACATTTATCATTAGAAGCAAAGGGGAAAATTCCTTGTGGTTCTCTCAGAGTATTGGCTTCATCAACTATCATAATATTCTTGAAATAGCTCGCTTTCTTAAATTCTTCGTCTGCAAAATGCCCACTTCTCATTCCCGTTGTCGTGTGTTTTCCATTAGTCATTTTGTTTACGATTTCACCGCCCCACTGAACTTTGGTGGCTCCACCTCCTAGAGAAGTGAACAAATTGCTAGGCCAGTAGCCAACAGGCTCTTCGCCGATCTTTAGCCACCAGTTATCACCGTCCTAAATAATCGACAATCCATTTCGAGTTTATACTTTAGATGAAGAGATATCGCATCGTTCACAAGATTAAGGAACTTTTATACAATTCGTTTTTAATTTCTCTTTTAGTACCTTCCATATAAGCATGGAGAGCTCCTTTTGATCTCCGTCGTATTGTGACACGGGATTCAAGGATCCACCTACAGTGAAAGTATTGCTTGTCTGAACAAAACCATGATCTGGACAATCTAGATTGTAGCATAGATGTCCTTGGTATCCATTGTTCTACGCATAAAAAAAAAAGAACAAATAAATTTAGTTTAAGCATTCAGAGATATAAAATTATATATTATATGGTTGTAATGGTATTGTATGTTTTCTCGGATTGTGAACCGGTCAAATGAAAGCAAACTTGTATGTTATGTTCAGAACCCCAAAACGTGTGATTTGTCAACCATTTAAATTTCTCAAATTATATTTAAGATTTACGCATAATTTTCAAGAAAATAGGAACGTACCGTCCAGAAAACGAATAATCTAGTATTACTATCACCATATATTTGTTGAGAAACCTACAAAATTATGGCCAAACAAAGATAGTGTTAATTACGATGTTTTGCATATGAGGAAAGTATGATTAAGAACTTATTAATGGAGGACTAGAGAGCTACAAGACCTGCCAACCAGCTTCAATGCTGTTAAGATTAGGACCTTCTCCAGACACAAGCCAAGTCTGAGCCAAGCTGAACTCTCTGAACTCTTGGACATTTGGATTCCATACATTTATTGTAAATCCTGTCCCGAAGAACTTTCCGTCCCTAGAATTCATGATCGCATACTAAAGCAGCTCCAAAAAATAGGAAATATGTAAATTATGCCACAAAAGAGTAGTTTATAACACAAGGACAATTCAGAAAAATGTGTACCTCATGGCCTAGACTTGGATCTTTATATTCAGGGATGCTTTGATGAGTTTTTTTCCGGAAACTCACAGCCGCTTGTGCTCGTAAGATATCTTCTTTCTTTGTTCTTCTGACAGGAACAGTGTTTCCCGGACACTTTCCATTCTTGTGCCAAATCTGAGTGATAGCCTTTGCCTTTTTCTTGATGTACTTAGAACCACTTTTTGGGATAAAACTCGGTCTCATCTACGCGCGGAAAATTCTCCATTTCAACAAAAGCTTCCATGTAGTAACAAAGAAGAGTTCGAAATATTGAAGACAAACCTGGATGGTGTGGTTCTTAAGCAGAGGATGATCAAATGCTGGTTGACTAGTTAATAGAACACAGTCTATTATATCTCCATCTTCACTCTGCGAAAAAGATTAATTAAAGCAAAAAAGCTAATCTCTAAAAGCTGTCCATGAATATTCAAAGCATGGAGTTCAAACATATAACATTTGTATAATGTATACCTTAATAGATTTAAGAGCACGCTTGTTGAACCGTTTCAAAAGTTTTTGTACATCGATTTCTTGGTGATCAGAGCTCCCTTCTCCATAGACACAAGGAGAGATTATCACCACAATCATAATCATCAGAGCTACCACGAAACCAGCCATTCCCATCACGGGTAATTAATAATTATCAACCTTAGCAAAACCTTTAGATACTACCCTTTGGAGTTTTTTTACTTTTGTATCAACTACTCTTAGAATTTATAGGAGATTATTGCTCATATGTTCTACTAATTAAGAAATTAGATAGACTTTTCAGTGGTTTTACACCATGTATGAAAGTCATTTAAATTGACTCATGACTTAAACAATTGACTTATGACTTAAACACCATCACAATTTGTGATGAAGCGTATAATTTAGGCAATACATGTTTTGGAATGAGTTTAGGTCATTTTGAGTCCATATCACGAAAACCATAAAACTTTTGTAAGTAGACTTGCTTTCTGACTTAGTTAGGGGTTTTACATTGTGATATGTAGTATACTTTTGTGATTCAGATTGTGACTAGTTTGAGTTTCTAATGTTTTCTCTATCGGGTTATGTGAACGATTTCAGAGAATCAATGAAGATTTGAGCCATGACTTAAACATCATGTCTTCTTAAAACGTGTATGTTGGACAAGAAAATTGTTCTAGTGAGCCATGACTTAAACACCATGACTTCTTAAAACTATATGTAATTCGTGCAAGAACATATATTGTTCTAGTGACTAGGGTTGGAATTTGAGTGGGGAAATTGCATAGAAAGATGAGCCTATTTTCGTTTCATCTAAACTACCCTAACAAAATTTAAAATATAAACTAAAAATGTAACTTACTTCAGCGAAGTAAACGAACATTTCATCTATAACACAAAAAAAGAAGTAAACGAACATTTCATCTATTTAAACTAAACACATAAAATCCCACATAACCTATAGTAACTTTAAATCATAAATAGAAACAGAAAATAGTTGTTTAACTTGTCATTTGGTTTACATAAACAAAAAACAATACCATAGATTGCATTTGACATAAATCGTACGAAATCCGCAACCATCTAGAAAATGTGTTTACATTACGGTTTTTCAATGAGACGTTGCTGTTTAATTGTTCAAAGTTCAAACACTATATCTTCAACAATTCTCAAATATTTATGATTTTGAAATCTACTAGAACAATAATAATAGCGCGTTTTTGAAAGTGACCTTTAACTCCAAAACAAAGTTTGGACGCCATGGCAAATACGCAACTATTTTTTCCAAAATTTTGGGTACTTTTAGTTAGAAAGGTTATTAAACCAAGTGAATTAAGCAATAATTGTATTTTTTTTTTCAATTTACAATTTAACATTGTTAGTTTCTAAAATATTTTACTTTATTGGCTAAAATATGTTGGGTTCTGATTCGTTTCGTTAAAAGATTTTGGATTTTAATTTGCTTCATTGAAATAAGTTGGTTTTAGACTTTTAGTATACACCTTCAAATTTTCTAGGTTTTTTATAGGTGAAACTGAAATAGGTTGATTTTTCTTTGCAACTTTTCCAAAGGTGAGCTTTAGGACTCCGCCTTTATTTTGTAGCCTCTATTTTCCCATACTCATCTTAAAAGAAAAATGTCCATCATTGTCAAAACTCATAACGCGTAACATAATTTTGTTTACCCAGTACTTGTTTATTTTTATTTTTTTGCTAAAAAACTTGTTTTGTTGTCATTTATATAAAAAAGTTTAAATCACTAACCAAAACAACAAATATAATCTACAAACTAACCAATATTTCTCTATATATATCTCACTCTCTAAAAATTTGGTTAGTTTTTAAATTATATCTTTTTTGGTTTTTCACCAAGTTCACCCATTTATATATGGTTTCAATTGTATTTTTTATTTTAAATCTATTACTCTCTCAGGTTGAAAAAAAACTATTACTATATTTCTCTCTCTCACTTTAATTTTATTTCTTTTATATTTTTGTAATCGTTTTTTCTAAATCAAAACATTATTTATTATCTACCTAATAACTTTTCAACTAATTAAAAAACGTAACATGCAAATTACAAAGAATCATAAAAAAAAATTGATAAATTTTGGGCAGAAAATTGAAATTATCATTTATTTATTTTTGGTTTTTATCATTTCTTATTATCAAATAGTGAAAGTACATTTACAACAAACCCCTCAACTAAATATAAATTGTAGATAAACTACTCAATTATAAACTTAATATAAAAATCTCTTAAATATAAGTTCATTAATGAAAAAAAACTATTTTCTCTACAGTAACGTTAAAAATTTAACGGTCAACACTAAATCAAACTTACATGCTCTGGTTTGTAAAAACAAAATAGAGACATTATGAAAAAATTTAAAGGGTTTTAAGTTTAAAATAAAAACCTTTAGATAAATACAGTAAATTTTTTTATAAATTAATAATCTTTGGGATTTTTGAATTTTATTAATTTATAGAGATATTAATTAATCGATGTAATTAATTTATCGATAAACTAATAAATTATTAATTTTAAAAGATATTGTAGATTTGAATTCTTAATATTTATCAAGAGGCAAAAGAATAGTTTTCAACAATGTAAAATTTGTTTAGAAAATATCATATAAATTAATTTGGAAAATAAGTTAAACAACAATTATAAACTTTGAACAATAATAAAGTTATATTCTACTACATTATATTGTTTATATATATTTAAAGATATAATTATTAATTTATATAATTATCGAAAACATGTTTTTACATAGAATTTTTTGAAAATTATTTTCTTATAGCTTATCAAAATTTGCCAATTTTATACTGGCTTAATTTATAATGATTATTAATTAATCAAATTTTAATTTATAGAGATTTTACGTTATGTAAACCCCTCGCCTATGAATTCAATATGAAAAAACACTGGCTGTGTTGTGAGGTACATCTGTTGTAGCTTGCTGTTGAAGGTACTTATCCGTAGAGTGAAATGTTCCCAACGTCTCCAATGTATTCGCCAATTTTTCCCAAGGGGATTGTGATGGCTTGAGCTTGGCTCGTGACGGGCCATTGAACGGATAAAGCATCCAGACGGCTATGTTTGTGAAGCTTCCGCCGAAAACATGGTTTATGTGCATATACACTTCCATGCTTTGCAAGTCTTCGCCTTTGACTCATTTTCTGTCGTCAGAAGCAAACCACTAGGTCTAACCAGCAAAGACAGTCGTTGGATTCGCCTTGTGAATGATGATAAGATGAGACTTCATGTTTTGGTACGAGGGAAATGTAGGTGATGCCGAGTGAAGGTGTTGAGGTCAGTGGTGGAGCTATAAATGTTTTTTACTGGGATTAATAATATATACACTAAAATTTTGAATATTACAAAGTATAATATATATAGTTCTGATCAGTTTTATAATTTTTTTTTTGTGTGCCAGGTTTTAAAAGTATAGTTAAATATTACTTGTATAATTCATAATTTGATTTAAACTAATTACACATATCTATTTATTCAAAATTATATGAGAAAAATACCAAGTTATTAAAAACAGTAATCTTTTAAACTTTTTAGTATGATTAACTAAAACTCATGAAGAATAAAAGCAAATTTACATTATGAATCCAGTTTAAATGATTAGATTTTGAATGTGAAATTAGATTAAATTTAGAAGATTCAAGTAAAAAAATCTAAACAGTGTAACATGAATTTAGGTTTGATTTAAATTTATAGAGGTCAGCCAAAATATTTCAATGGGGTCAAATTTCCAAAATATACATTGAAAATCAAATTTCACAGGGTCAATTGAACCACATACTCTAGGGTGCGGTTGATTTCTACGTAGGCTGACATTCTGCAGCTCGAAAATCAGCATAAGCCAACAGACTACCCACTATGTTCCATTCGTTGGGACTTGGGACCGACACAAATATATCGACTAGCATGCACCAAATCATCTGAAATTTAATGAAGAAAAAAAAAACCATAAATTGGATATTTTCCCTTAAAAAATCTATTTATACTGTAGATATTAAGAGGTTAAAGTGGAAAACTTACATAAAGTTTTTAAGGAAACGATAGGTGCTGTGAGCTGGACAAGACTCGGCGGATACCAAGACACATTGTACTACAAAAACAAAATTGGCAATTCTATAACGATTGCTTCATCATAGGCAGATTTCATATTCGGCTACTCTGCAGCTGTGTTCCACAACTGTGAGATCCGGCTTAGAGAGGACAGAGAAACACACTCAGTCGCTCACGACTCAGTCATGCAAAGATCAGTATAACGGCGAGTCCAGATCGAACTCCACTCAAAACAACAGCGATGGAGGAATTATTTAAGGTTGTATTTTTACAATTGTATATCGGTGATCTAATTGATCACGCAGGCTAGGGTCGTTGGGATAAGACCCAAATTTTTAATCAACTTTGGCTGAGTTATTTATTATAATCCATTACTAACTTTGATTTCATTGGCTTTAACCAAATTTTGTTCAACTATTGCACATTTACAATTATCATATTAATCTTCTGCACGCCCGCATTATGTTTGAGAGACTCCAACTTTACTATCTTAACAGAGACGGGTCCTCACGGGTTCAAATCATTTTTACCAAAATAAAAATAAAATTAAATATAGATTAAATGACTGATTTTCAGTGTAATATAAATGATTTCTAATATACAATTAAATATACACATATAAATGGTTTCTAATATACAATTAAATATAAATGTAGGATCTGAATCTTGAAATTTGGTGGTTGGACGTTGGCTTTAACTAGTATAATTCTATATATCTTGAAGTAGAAAAAACAAAATCTGTAAGTTAAATTTGTTAAGAGTAATACATTGTTAAATTTGTACTGATTTTTAATAGTTAGATCCGATAAAATGACTGTGAACCAAATATTTATTATAAGCATAACATAAGCAAAACATAAGTAAAAAGTTAGTAAAAATATGCAAAACATAAGCAAAATATAAGATAGGTATACAAAAGAAATATCCAAGAACTTGATACAACGATGGTTCAGGGGAAGACACTGGAAACGCGTAGCTATTTTCTTTTGGCTACTATTCTGTTTCTCTCTTAGCTTCGTATCATTTTGAATTTTCATTTATAAGAAATGTTTTTAAAAAATTAATATTCTTTTATTCAATATTATCGGAATTTCGTATGAAAATACAAAAGATTAGAAAGCAACACAAACAATTTTTCTAACACCAATAATCTCAGCAGCATCGAGGTCGATTGGCAGGTTAGTTTTTAACCTATCATTTATTTTATATTGTTTTTCTGACAAGTAACTACATCATATTTCTAGTAACTATTTGTTATCAAAATTTTATTTTAATCAAAAAACTTATGTATGAAAATAAATATAAGTACTATAAATTTTTAAAGTATAAAAAACTTATGTATAAAAAACTGAATGTTTTTTTATAAATTTTAAATTTTGAATATTACGCTATTTAAGTTTATTTCCCTTTATATTTAGACAATCAGGCGGAAGATTATTCGTTTTCTGAATGATATGTATGTGATTTTGTATTTTACTTTCAATTTAACCTCCTTTTATTCCAAATATAACTAATATTTACATATTTACATGTATATATTTGAAATAAAAACAGGTCAAGTTAAAATATAAAATTACATACATACCGTCCACAAAATGAATAATCTCACTATCGAAGAGTGCTTCATACAATGTCACAAGATGCTACAATCTCCCATGCCCTGGTTTTATACAAACTAGTAGCTCAATCGCCATTAAAGGAGTTATCTCTCTTACGTCGACTTTTGGAGGCACTCAAACCGATCTCACAATTCTATATGAAAGGTTAACCAAATTGTTTTATTTTGTGATAATATAAATGGTTTCTAATATACAATTAAATATAAATGTAGGAGCTGAATCTCGAAATTTGGTGGTTGGGCGTCCGCTTCAACTAGTATAATTGTATTATGTATATATCTTGAAGTAGGAAAAAAAATATCTGTAAGTTAAATTTGTTAAGAGTAATACATTGTTAAATTTATACTGATTTTTAATAAGTTAGATCCAATAGAAGGAGAACCAAATATTTATTATAAGTATAACATAAGCAAAACATAAGTAAAAAGTTAGTGAAAAATATGCAAAACATAAGCAAAATATAAGATAGGTATACAAAAGGAAATATCCAAGAACTTGATACAACAATGGTTCAGGGTATGCGTAGCTATTTTCTTTGGTTACTATTCTGTTTCTCTCTTAGTTTTATATCATTTTGAATTTTCATTTATAAGAAATGTTTAAGAAAAATCAATGTTCTTTTGTTCAATATTGTTGGAATTTCGTGTGGAAATACAAAAAAAAATAGAAAGGAATATAGAGAAGCAGCTTTGGCATGAGACAGCTTAAGTACACCAGGGTCATTATTCTTGAACTTTTTTGAAACCTTTGGAATATATAGATAAATGTGTTTAACTGATTTGGCAAATACAACTGTTTTTAGATAAAAGCTAAATAAATGGTTTGCCAATCTTTATGTTACTTTGTTTTTACATTAAGACATTTTTGAAAAAACTGAAGCTATTTGGACTACCGATCACAATAATTTGCCCTATTGTTTGCTCAATGCTCCATGTTGACCGACTTGGAGATGCATGATATAGGGTAAGTTTCCTGGTTTCTATATAAAGAAATTATAAAATAGTAAAATACTAATTAACTATCTTTGTGTTTCTTCTTGTGTTATCTAATCCTCTAATAATGGCAGTTTTACTTCTGTAAATGTTACATTCAAACTCTCAACTTATATGGTATCAGAGAAGCATTGAAAATTAAATCTTAAATTTCTTTTACCATCTTCAGTTTCTGCTTCATTCCGCTTCATTTGAGCTTTTGAATTTTCGGAATTATCTCTGAATTTATTTGGTACATCAACAAGCACTCTCGTGTGGTATATTAAAATGACAAACAAAATCACAAATCAAAGGAATTTTCTTGTATAGCATCGGAGCCACAAGTGAATGATTATGAACTCTTATGATCCAAATGAATGATTCATTCTAGAAAGCATCAGCATAAGTGTATTATTATTGAGAATGTATGATCCATTCTGGAAAAAATCACAACAACTTCACCAAAAGAACCATCTTTTCCAAGTAGAAGGTTTCGGGGTTTGATTATGTTCATCCTTCTTCCTATTCTCCATTCCCTGCTTCAGTGACTCCAGACGTTTTCTGCGACATCCACACACAAATTAACAGTCAATAGCTCAAGTAGAGATTAACAGGAAAGTAAAAGCAATATGATAAGGTTTGATTTTGTTAACAGTACTTTGTATCCGTCATCCGACCGTGCAAACTCCATCTCCGACGAAATCCTTCAATTCCTTCAGCTCCACTTGCTAGAATCAAGTGCCTGATTATAAATACAAATGAACTATTCTAGTCAACATTTGGATCAAGAACAGAGTTTGTGAGGGTTTGAAAATCTGAAATTTGTCTCTGAAACACTGCAATGTTTAAGAAAAGAGTACTGTGCCTCTCTAGTGATGTGGCTTCAGCTTCAAGCTGAGTAACCCGTTCCTTTGCGAGATCAATAGGCATAGACGATCCTAACTTGTGTTCGCTCTCTTGGAGTCTTACTCTCAATACCTTGTCCTAGAGAAGGATTATAAGAAAACGAAAAACTCAAGGAGATGGATATGAGATATGAACAGCTTTACAAAAACATATAATCTGAGAGACAGATAGTAATACCCTGTTTTCAGCACATTGTCGATACAAAGCAAGCTCATCTTGGCAAAATGGTTCAATATCATTGATTTGCAAACCTAAGAACCAGAAAACCAAATTCTATATAAGAAGGATGATACACAGACTTAATAATGGAAACAAAACAGAGGATGCAGAGAGACTTACATAAGAATAGATTCCTCAAGACACCATCACACAATTCAACACCTTCAAGCACATGTGAAGCAATTTCAGGAGGGATGACCGGACATGGAGGACCCATCATTAGGTCGTCGCCGACCAATATGGTCTCCTCCATCATAGGTTGTGAATCAACTGAGAAAAATTGACATCAATAATATTACAAACTTCTATCAATTTCCATGCACAGATTGTGATGCAGAGTGGGATTTTCAAAAGGTTTAAAAATAAGAACTTTGACATCATATGAACAAAACATAAACGAAGAAATAAACACAACTTGATAGCGTTTTCAGTAGCAAAAATATGTAAGATGCACCAAATTCCAACATGAAGAACAAAATATTTGAAAGAACCAAACATTGAAAGATTGGATTTTTCACTTCATCATATTAAGCTACCAAACAATATTGGTTTCTTACGTTTGCATTCAAACTCACACAAAATACGTGAAAAGGGGGAATTTACAAATTACACAAATGTTCAATTTCCCAAGAATCATTCACTTACCATCCATGGCTGCTCCGTATCAAAACAATTCAAGGACTGAAGAACAAACAGACCAAACCAAGGAATCCTGAAAATTAAAACAAAGACAAATTATAAGAAAAGAAAGTCTCAGTTAGGCATTTCGTCGAACAGTTTCTAGGCTTAACAAGAACCATACGCGTTCGTAAAACTTTTACTCCGAAAAAGAAAAGTAGACTGAAATGGGGATCAAGAAAAAAGCATCTATCGAATTCGAAGCGACAATTTTTTAGCGAATGGAAATAATCCGACGCAGCTGATCAAAAACTCACTCTTCTCGAGTGACTGTTTTTATCGTCCCTAACAAAGAGCGAGAGGGCTCAATTCTAGTTTTCAAATACGTTGTCGTTTCGTGCTTGATAGATAAACGGGCGGTAAAAAGACGGCGGTAAAGAAAAAAAACACTACTGAAATTGAAAGAAACATGGGAGGAAAATAGTAATCATGTGAGGAAATATTATCGCCAAATTTGATAATATGATGAAAGTTATAATTCAATTAGATATTCCTTGCGTTTTTTATTTTTTTATATATGATGTGTATAGTTTTGCATATAAATTAAAAAGTTATTTAATATTTTCTTTTTGTAAAATAAAAAAAAATTAATTTCAAAACAATAGACAAGATTTAAATGATTAAATACTTTTAACAAAAAAAAAACCCAATAGACAAGATTTAAACAATTTAAATAATTAATTTTTACTTTAATTTTTGAAAACATCATCTAATTTTTTTTGGCAAAAATATCATCTAATTAAAAAAAATCATCTAAAACATTTTATAAAGAAAAACAGAGAAAGTATACAACAAGGAAACAAAGCTTGTTACTCCAATTTTTTTACCCAATCTCGTCTGTAACTAACAACATCCTCAAGCTTTCACCTTTGACTTTTGACCTTAACTAAAAAGTCAAATTCAAAGAAATAGAAAAAAAATATGATTATCGAAATTTAACTTTTATAAATTGGCATCAACAGAGGGAAGAGTGGATTACAGTAGTGGACTCAATAAGGAAGCAGCTCTCAATGCAGTAGGCAGTAGGTAAAAGAAAACAAAAAAAACATCACAACAACTTTGTAAAATACTGAAAACAGAGATGGTGGATTCAGAGGTGGAGAAGGCAACGGAGAGCCTTTCCTTGGTGGAGCAGCTGCATGGCTTTGTTAATATCGTGGAAAGGAAGCTGGTGAGAGATGAAGAGGTCGAGATTGACAGAACCTTGGAGACACTGGGCGATGAAAAGAGGCAACTGGGTTTTGGGTTTAAAGCCTCCGAAAACAGAGGCGGTGATGGATCTTCCTTGGAAGAGCTCCATGGGATGGATAGGGAGAAGCTGCGGGCTTGCGTGAACGCCAAGCAAAACTGTCACTCCCATTCCCGAGTTTGTAGATAGAAATGCCTCTCGAAGTGCTTCAATGCTTCCCGCACACTCGAAGCTGTACTCCACTCCATATCCCTCTGTTATCTCCATCACTCTCTCATGAACCGCCTTGTCACTCTCCTTTGGGTTTATGAATTCACTGATCCCTGCTTCTCTGCCTGTTGAATCAACAGTTATAAATGCGATTCACATCTCTTCTTGTATGTGTATATGCATGTATTATATATATACCTAAAGGGAACTTGTCAGGGTTGACGTCGATCCCAATGATTTTAGAGGCTCCCCTGGCTCTTGCACCCTCAGCCACCTTTAAGAGTGAGTGTATTGTGAGCTTCCATGATGATGATGATGATGATGATGATGATGATGATGATGATGATGATGATGATGATGATGATGATGATGATGATGATGATGATGATGATGATGATGATGATGATGATGATGATGATGATGATGATGATGATGATGATGATGATGATGATGATGATGATGATGATGATGATGATGATGATGATGATGATGATGATGATGATGATGATGATGATGATGATGATGATGATGATGATGATGATGATGATGATGATGATGATGATGATGATGATGATGATGATGATGATGATGATGATGATGATGATGATGATGATGATGATGATGATGATGATGATGATGATGATACCATTCCAAAAAAAAAAACAAAGAAGGGAAAGACTTACGGCAAGTCCAACAGCGCCCAGTCCAAAGACAGCAACGGTGGAGCCTTGCTGAATATCAGCCACATTCCAGGCCGCACCCACTCCTTTACATTTTACACAACACTACTTTAGTTACTTGTCTCTTTCATAACATAAACTAACCCACTAAGAAGAAGAAGAAGATGTTGATTACCAGTGGAGACACCGCAGCTGAGGAGGCTCATCTTCTCCAGAGGAAACAGAGGGTCCACTTTGACCACACAGGCCGAGTCTATGACCGTGTACTCGGAGAAGGTCGATGTGTTTAGAAAATGGAAGATGGGTTTGTTGTCTTTGCTGGTGAAGAATCTGGTCCTCCCATCGCCTACCATCACCTTCTTCATCGGATCCACTCGGAATCTCTCGCACAGATTGGCTCCGTCTCGCTTGCAGACTCTGCACTCTCCACACTCTCCGGTGAAGATAGGGAGCACATGATCCCCTGCCTTGATCTCTTCCACTCCTTCCCCTACGCTCTCCACTATCCTGTAATTAATGTTCACATCCATATCCATTGGAAAAGTGAAAAGAAGAAAAAGCTGAAATCCACAAAATACTAATTACCCTGCAGCCTCATGACCAAGGATTCGAGGGTATGCTTGCTGAGCCTCGTTCTGACCAAAAGAAAGAGAGAAGAAGATATTGAAAGGGCCATAGCTAGCTACTACTTGAAGAAGAAGAAGAAGAAGAAGAAGCAGAAGAAGAGAGACCGTTATAATTACCTCGCCTTTCCATGCGCTGAGATCGGTGTGACAGATGGAAGTGAAGAGGATTCGAAGTCTCACTTCCAATCTCTGAGGAGGATCCACTTTAACATCCTCCATTACTAGAGCTTCTCCAGCTCCCCATGCCACAGCCGCTGTTACATTCATTCACATCACACTTTAGCTTAGCTCACACATGCATATACAGATCATTTTTTATACACAAATTACTTACCTCTGCAAATGATAACTTGGCCTTGTGTTCCCATCCGCAAGACTCTCTTGAGTTACTCTTGCCTCTGAAAGTTGAAAAGTGGCAGAGGAGCTGAATATATATATATATATATATTTATGAGAATTTTCCACCAGATAATTAAGGTCATCAATGTTACACACCTTCCAATTAAGTAGTCAGTTATAACATTCAACCAAGACTTCACACGAGCAGAGACGTCAAGATTATTCCACGATCAAATGACAAGACACATCCAAAGCATCGATTTTTTTTTTTTATCTAATGAAGTATAGTAATCAAGCAATGCTATCCCAGTCCCAGACAAATGCTTTTTTATTCAGTGCCTGATCTATGATAATATGAAACATAATAGCTGGGTGTATATACACACACAAGTCAAGGAAATAGTTTGCATTACTTTGCTTTTGTGCTAACTTTTAAGACTGAATTTGTTTTTGATAATAGTACATAGATAAAGACAAGAAGAAGAAGAAGAAGGAGTCAACAATATTGAATACCAAACAATAAATGGGAAAGGGTCCTCTATATCTGTATGTATGGGACCCCGGTCATTAAGAGTGTTCTCCGGGATGACAGACATAGTCCACGTTCCGTTTCAACTTGTTACGTATTTTATAATTTATACATCCAATATTGACCCTTCCATTGATTTCAATTGTCTGTGGGTTATGGAATGTCCCATCCATTTAATGCTCGGTGCTTTCATCTGTCTGCTCTTTAGAGAGATAACATTGGAAAATAACTTGCCCTCAACGATCTGGTTGAAACGGTCTCACACTTGACTACTTTGGTCGAAAAGGTCTCATTGAAAATAACCTAACTGAAATGTTTAAGAGAGAGTACCGTACCTCTCTAGTGATGTGGCTTCAGCTTCGAGCTGAGTAACCCGTTCCTTAGCGAGATCAATAGGCATAGACGATCCTAACTAGTGTTCGCTCTCTTGGAGTGGAGTCTTACTCTCAATACCTTGTCCTAACGAAGGAACATAAGAAAACGAAAAACTCAAGGACATGGATATGAGATATGAATAGCTTTACAAAAACATATAATCTGAGAGACAGACAGAATTACCCTGTTTTCAGCACATTGCCGATACAAAGCAAGCTCATCTTGGCAAAATGGTTCAATATCATTGATTTGCAAAACTAAAAACCAGATTCTGTATAAACATAACCGAGGATGTTACATAGACTTAATAATGGAAACAAAACAGAGGATGCAGAGAGACTTACATAAGAAAAGATTCCTCAAGATACCATCACACAATTCAACACCTTCAAGCACATGTGAAGCAATTTCAGGAGGGATGACCGGAGATGGAGGACCCATCATTAGGTCGTCACCGACCAATATGGTCTCCACCATCATATGTTGTGAATCAACTGAGAAAAATTGACATCACCAATATTACACAACTTCTATCAATTTTCATGCACAGATGGTGATGCAGATTGGGATTTTAACAGGTTTATAAAGAAGAACTTTGACATCATATGAACAAAACATAAACGAAGCAGTGGGCACAACTTGATAGCGTTTTCACCAGCAAACAATTGTAAGACTGGCTTCCCACAGTTTGCATTATAATTCACCAAATCCCAACTTGAATCACAAAATATTAAAAAAAAAAACGGACTTTCTTGTAGCAAACATTGAAAGATTGGATTTTTCACTTCATCATATTAAGCTACTAAACAATGTTGGTTTCCTAAGTTTGCATTCTAATTCACACAAGATATGTGAAAAAGGGGTATTTCTTGAAGCAAAAACAAATTACACAATTGTTCAATTTCCCAAGAATCATTCCCTTTACCATCCATGGCTGCTCCGTATCAACAAAATTCAAGGATGAGCAAACAGACAAAATCTGAGAACCCTGAAAAGTAAAACAAAGACAACTTGTCAAAAAAGTCTCATTTAGGCATTTCGTCGAACAATTTCTAGGCTTAACAAGTACGTACCCGTTCGTAAAACCTTTACTCCGAAAACTAAGAGAAGATTCAAATAGGGATCAAGAAAAAAGCATCTATCGAATCCGAAGCGACAATTTTTCAGCCAAAGGATATAATCCGACGCAGCTTTGATCAAAAACTCACTCTTGTGACTGTTTTTATCGTCCCTAAGTGTGTTTGTTTGCGAGGACTCAGTTCTAGTTTCCAAATACGATGTCGTTTCATGCTTGATATAGATTATGGTCAAACGTGCGGTAAAAGGCTGCGGTAAGAAAAAATTGAAAAAAATTAGTTATATACTAATCATGTGTGGAAATAGTAATCATGAATTTATAAGTAGCTTCAAGTTTTTTTTGGATCGCTAAATTTGATAAAATGGAAGTTATAAATTCAATTAGATACATACAACAAGAGAAAAAAATAGATTTTTACTCCGATTTTTTTTACCCAATCTCGTCTGTAACAACATCCTCAAGCTTTAACCTTTGACCTTGACAAAAAGTCAAATTCAAAGAAACAGAAGAAAAAAAATGTAGTTTCTGTATAAGTTATTGTACACAAGTCAAATGTCACTCAAAGTCTAGTAGAGGTTTCTTGGAACGAACAGCCAAATTCTGTTCCCTCTGCTCTCTAACACTAACAAGTGCTTTGCGCCGAGCTTCAGCGCTTTCCAAGTACTCTTGTATCGGAGGGAGAGTGATCTTTTGTTCTATCCCATCGGCTTTTGCTCGACGAATCAACTAAAATATCCAACAACACAAAAAGCTTTAATGATCTGCAATGGTGTGTTAACACATTTAACTAAGTGTAGAAGATGAAGACTCGGTTTAACCAACCTTTGAAGCCCATGTTCGTTCTGCTCCTTGACATACATCTCGAATATCCCTCCCTGACATTCTGCATAACCAATCAAAACCGCATATGTCGGTATGGGCTCATTACAAACTAACTACATTGAGAAAACTTGTGAGCTTTCTAATATAAAGAAACCAAAGTTAGAAACTTTACGATTCTGTGGCCTGAGCAAGCTGGACTAGTTCAGGCTTTGAGAGTTGTTTTGCGTATTGGGCGATGATATCTTGTCGGGTTTGTAAGTCCGGTAAGTCAAACATAATCATGGAATCGAACCGGCTAAAGATATATATATACAGATGAAGAAACGTTAGGAAACTTGGTCAGGACACTGCATCCACGAGTTGTACCGGTTTTAAAGAAGTTTTATTTATTGCTTACCTGATCAAAGCAGAATCAAGATCTTGTTTTCTATTAGTTGCAGCAATCACAACCACTTTTTTGTCCTGTTCAAATCCATCAATCTGCGAAAAACATAGAAGATGCAGATTCATCATTACCGGTAATAGCTTAGTCTGTAGTAGATATGTGTTATTGATGATTTGTGTGTGTGTGTGTGTGTGTCTACCTGCCTTAGTAGTACCGATAAAACTCTACGTGTTGCTTCATGCATCTCATTATCACGAGATATAGCAAAGGCATCGATCTGGAATGTGAGTTTAGACAAGTAAGTTTCATTTTATTTCATAGTCAAATATTGAAAGGTGAAGAACATAAAAGAGGCAATCTTTTCTTCACCTCGTCAAGAAATATAATAGCACCATCAGAGAGCTCGTTTGCTTGTGAAAACACAGCACCAAGAAGCCGCTCGCTTTCACCATAGTACTTCGACATTACAGCTTCAAGCGGCACATACAGCAACGGTATGCCCTGACAAAAAATTGCATAAGCTTAGAGCTCAACATTATGCAAACACAACAAAAGGTTTAAACTGATAAAAGTCTTGATCACTCACCGCTTGGTTAGCAATAACACGCGCACACGATGTCTTTCCAGTTCCTAAGTTTAGAGTTTATGGAATAATCATATCAAAACTTCTTTCCACAAAGAAGGAATGAATTGTAAATGCACTCTTCTTGTTCTAACCTGGTGGGCCCTCAAACAGCACAGCTCGAGGTCGGTTTGATTCAAACTTGGACCTTGTACCACGTACTATATCATCATACACTTCAGGACTATGAAGGGCCATCAATATTGTATCTTCTATCTCTCTGCATCATGATAAGGAGCTTAATATAGCAACTTTAATGGGACATATAAGAGAAAGATGTCATGTAAGTAAAACTTACCGCTTTTGCTGATCATATCCAGCAATATTGTCCCATGATATCTCATCGACAGAATCATCCCCAAGAGGTTTGTTAACTCCATAGATTCTCACTCCCATCGATTCCAATTGAGAAACAGTTTTGTCCGTAGACGCTTCACGGGCGCTACCTCCCTTGTTCTGTCCAGCTTTTGTTCCGGCCACTTGCAAAGCCGAAACAAAAGCCTCGAGTTCTTCATTAGTCAAGCTTCCCTTCTTTATGAACTCAACTTCCTGAAACAGTTTGCAGCATCATCAAGATGTTATCAAACCAAAACTAAGGCCAAAGGACATTTGAGAAATGAAACTTAACCACTTTATCAGACGTAATTAAGGAGCCAAAGATAAGAATGCACAAGTCTTCATCTGCATCGTCCTCACTCCCTCCTACTTCCTTCTTGCTTTCCACACTTCGAAGTGTTATTTGCCAAGCGACTGGACTAAAAGTAGCAAGAAAAGGTGTAGAGATTAATCTTCCATCACACATCAAGCTTACAAAACTAGTTCTCTGACAAAAATCTTGTAGAACAAGACGATTACTTGTCCCAAGCACGCAATAGCATGTCTGAGCCACCAGTACGATCTGAGACCTTCACGCCTAGTTTTGTGCCAATGTTTGATATTAGTTGCGCGACTTCACAAGTAGAAGGAACTTGAAACTTCAACGTAATCTACATCCAACAAAAACACTCTCGCCTTGAACACACTTCCTAATCACAATTACCATCGAAATGATCCAGACTTTATAAAGATCAAAGCAGAAACCTTTTGGCCCCTGACAGCAACATTGAACCGTGGGTAAGCACCATACTTTGTTCCTTTAGTTTGTATTAGTTCTTCGATTCGAGCTCGTTCTTTCTTGGCAATATCTACATAGTTTGGTGGAGGATCTATGGGAGCAGATGAAGTCTCATTAGCCTGCAATATGTTAAGTTTTAAACTACAATCAGCAAAAGTAACTGTGTCACATACAAGAGCTAACTCCCATCTCTCAACACCTAAAATTCAATTTTTTTGTAGACTTGTGTAACAAACCTGTTCAGAATCAGCATAAGCTACTCCTATTGCTCCAACGCTGAAGAGAACACCCAAAACTGCAGGCGCCATGGAGAAGCATGGAGAATCGTTTAAGGTGCTGCAAGATCTCAAGACTTGATTTACTTTTGAATTACTCTGCTCATAGGTTCCTACAAAATCAAAGACAACGTCGTACTGAGAGACAATGAGTCTTACTGAGTACAATCCCAAAAATTAAAATTTTTAAGACAGGAACATATGAAAGTCGGAGTTTTTATGAGAGGGATCATAAGAAAAAAAACCAGCTGTTCATGCTCTCGATTTCTCAAAAGTCCATAATTTTAAAACCAATTAAACAAATTCGATCGAAACCCATCAAGAAATCAAAGGAGCATCACCAAATTATAAGAAATTCACAAAAAAAAAAAAAAATTGACTCAATAGAACAAACGGTGAAGCGTACCGTGATGGAGGAATCGACGAAGCTCTCGTCCCCGTGAGTTCGACGGAACCATGGATTTAGGATGAGAGAGAGATCCGCGCCATACTCGAGCTGCTCGAAACAATCGGTGTAGAATCGTCATTGGACTGGATTGCCTTTACACAAATCTCTCCAACTCAAACCTGTTGGGAGGGTTTTGGAGGTTTTAAGGATCATCCGACCGTACAAGCAAAGTTTAGGTGATTTTTGTTCTCGGAGAAAACCTTCCAGAGAAAACCAACCGGTTCTATTCAAGAGACCGGTTTAAGAATTGGGTGGTATATTTTTGATCAATCTTATTTAATAATTTTCAAAGAAAATAACAAGTGGTTATAGACAACAATGGACTTTTGATTTCGTATGTGTTTAGAAAGTGTGCGTGATGGCGTGATGTTATGTGTAATAATAATGTTACACATCATGTAAATCAATTTTGATATTTACAATTTTTTTATTTATCATTTTTGCCTTTCACGAACATCGACCAATGACATCTCATGCAAAATCATGTTCATACATATAAATCATATATACTAAGAAAATTAATCTTTAACCAAAAAAAACTAAAATTTACCATATTTTGAATCTGAACATTCACGAAAACACTTAATCAAACTTTTTTTGTGTTTTGCTTCTACTATGACTACCACAACAATCATAAAGATCATTAGCATTATTGTTGCATTCCATTTTCTCATTTTTAGATTATATAAAACCAAATTTTTTTATAAATCTTTTTTTGTATATTTTCACTGTGAAATTTATTTTTAAG